TGTCTGAGATTCTCTATGTTTTCCCTTGTCTCAGACCAGAAAGCATGCAATTGCAACGATCTCCCGGCTTATAGTGCAAGGGTCAGGACCAATATCAAGTGAAGGTCCCTAAGTCGAAGTGGCGATCTGAAATAAAATACATATCATTAGATGCGTTTTGTTGAGCTGATACCATATCTTGCTTCCGTATCTGCTGAGCGGTTCTTTAGGAGAAGTTGTGACCGTTCCGAAATCTAAGCATGGATTAGAAACCAATAGTTTCACACTTTTAACCCATCATATCTTCTTTCAGAGAAGAGCTCAGCAAATAGGAAAGGTAGATTTGGAATCAGCTCATAAAAATGCATCTGTCGATACGCATTTCATTCCGAATCGCCGCTGGGACTTGGAATCCTTCCTTGGTAAGTATTGAAAATTTTGCACTCTGTAACTGTACGAAGCAAATAAAGCGAAATACCTCATCATCACGTTGATACTTCGGCACTCCGGTGGTTGCTGGAATTCCGAACTGCCTCATGCATTCAGCATCCGATGTTGCAAAGTACTGCCATGGCTCGTAATTGACACCATCTAGCGATTTTTCCAAAACCCAGGTACCCGGCCGTGGTGCGTTACCCATCTTGACGATGACATAAGCGACTTGGTATTCCTAAAATTGAGGGACTTGATTTTTGCATCTTCGAATACGTGGGACATTTCGAAAAAATCGATTGCCTCATGTATTCAGTTTCATTTGTTTTCCCCAGTTCTCTTCCATTCAACTCTAGAAGCTTTGGAACGTTACCAGCACTGCCGCTCCGAGATTTTTTTCGAGGTTTTGAGAGAGGAGGCAAAAAAAATTTTTTGGGCTCAAGATTTGCCACATCTTCGAAGTGAATTTTGGGATGCTAACCAAGATTTTAGCGGCCATTTGATCCCGTTGTGGAGAAAAGGGACCTTTGTGGGCTGCGCTGGGAAGAATTTTCTTATGAGCCCGATGTGAATTTTGAAATCTTTTGAGAAAAATTATGCGAACAAGTTTGCCCAATTTGATGACGTTGTATTGACTAAATTTGATGGCTTTTACCAGTGAGTAAACGAAGGGAGGGTATGTACATAAATATAAAGTAACTTCATATGTTCTCAATGATAATTCTACTCAAATTCATGAAGTAGCCAAAAAATATGTGTCCCTCTCCCTCTGAAAAATTCTGACATTCAAGAAATTACGTTGTACCTAATGAGATGAATAAGAACAATTTTTTGAGTCGGGAAAAGGCGTGACAATCAAGTATCTACTTCTTTGAAATTGTCCTGTTTCATAGCAGGATTTTATATCAAACTATTTGCTTGTGTGGATCCATCTAACACGTCAACGTGTCTAACTTCAATGAAACGCAGTCAGCCTCAACATTGGAGCTTTGTTATCTTACCATTGATGACTGACAGTAGTTACTTTAACGTCTTTACACATTACTCAGATCCCCTTCCCCCATTCCCTCCCCCACCCCACCCCCGCTTCGGCAATG